GGCTCCGGGGAGCCCCCCACCCCCACCCCAATTCCCTCCCTCCCTCTGTGGCCAGGCCCTGAGGACAGCAGGAAGGGGAGGAAACCACCTCCGGACAGTAATGGCCTGTCTGCCGCCACGGCCAGGAAGCATCCTCTCTCTGTAAGGGACCCAGAGCACTCTGTCCCGGGAAGGCATGAGCCCCAAAGCTCCTGCCACGGAGACAGCGCAGACAGGAGGGTCTGCAGAGTCAAACCCACCATTCCTCCACAGGACTCTTAGCTTCTCAGCGCCGTGCAGCCCAGCTACGATGGCCCAGCTCAGCGCAGCGGCCAGGGCCGGGTCAGGGCAACGTGGAGACAGAGGAAGAAGGAAGCAGAAAGCTGCGTTGTGTGGCGAGGGTTCCCTACGGCACAGAGTGCAGACAGGGATGAATTTTTCGGTCAGGAAGTCAGGGCATAGCATCTGTACTCCTTTCTCGGGGCACATGCTTTCCAGAAAGATCTGCAGCGACAGAGAGATAGTACATCACTTGCCTTGCACACGGCTGATCCAGTTCCATCCCTGGCATCTCGGGCACTGCCAGGAGCGATTCCTGAGCTCAGAAAGCCCTGTGCCTTTTTCGGCCACGCCCCACACACACACACATGCACCCACAAACACACACACACACGCACCCACAAACACACGCACACACACACACACATGCACTCATACACAGTTCTCAGTTAGCTTCCGCTCTGAATACAGGATCCCAGACCACCCGCAGAGGGGCTGGCCAAGCCCCGCACCCCAAGTCTGAGAGCCAGGCTGAAAGCAGCTGCCTAGGGAACCTCCCTGTGTCCGGGCACCTCCTCTGACAGGGGAAGGTCACCTTTGTTGGTCTGCAATCCGGCCCCAACAAACCTGGGTGGGCGGCATGCGCCGCCGCCTCCAGGGAGCCCCCGGAGTGGGACCCAGTGGCTGCCACAACTAGAAGGCTCCTCTGTCCGTGCCCACCTCTCGGGCCTGCAGACAGGCCTCACTCCCCAGCCGGGAGTCTCAGGGAGCCTTCACCCTCCTCGGAACCAGAGGCCTGTCAGGCTCTGAGGCACCCATGTCTGCTCAGACCCTGCCGGGAGGAGCCAAAATCTCACCGGGTTGCAGAGGAAAGGAGGGACTCCAGGCAGAGTGAGAGGTGGGCAGTGAGCTGACACTGGGTCGTCCCCCAAGTCCCCCCACGGCACCATCAAAGCCCCCCCATGCCCCTGTGGCGAGTGTGACTCTGTGGCAGCCCCAGCACCCAGCTCGGCCAGCCCAGCAGAGACAGCGGAGGCCAGTGGCACAGACAAGCCCAGGATTGTTCTGGAATCAAAGAGCCAAGCCATGTTATCGAGGTCCTGGCAGCCCTGCCCCTCCTGGGTCTCACCTCAGCCTCTCAGGCACCCCAAATTCTAGTTCCCAAGGACCAAATCAAACGTAACAACTAAATTTTGTTTAGTTTTGGGGGCCACACCCGGCAGTGCTCAGGGGTTACTCCTGGCGGTGCACTCAGGGGTCACTGTTGGCGGTGCTGGGGGGACCCTGTGGGATGCGAGGATCGAACCCCTGTGGGCAGGGTGGAAGGTAACTGCCCTCCTCACTGTATTCTCGCTCCGCAGGGCAGGGAAGCAATCAATTTTTTTTTGTTGTTGTTTTTTTTTTGCTTTTTGGGTCACACCCAGCGATGCTCAGGGGTTACTCCTGGCTCTACACTCAGGAATTACTTCTGGCGGTGCTTGAGGGACCATATGGGATGCCGGGGATTGAACTCGGGTCGTCCACGTTCAAGGCAAACGCCCTACCCGCTGTACTACCACTCCGGCCCCACTCAATTTTTTTTAAATTCCAGGACCCATTCTGATTGGATGAAGGTGGTCATGTGCCAACTCTGAGCCAATCAGTATGCGGGTGGAAGGGCTCACCCAGGGCAGTGATTGGCCAGGACTGCGTCACGTGGCCTACCCTGGGGCTTTGCAGCCGTTCTCCAGGAGGCAAAGCGGGTAGTGTTTCCAAGGCTGATTCGCAAGAAGAGAGTGAAGACACGGAGGCTGGTGGCAAAAACAACAGATGTCCCCTCGTACCTTCTGGAATCCTCACCAGCAGGGAGAAATCTGCTCCCCGCCGCGAGCCACCCAGCTGGGCCTCAGCGCGGAAGTGTGAAGCGAGCTGTCTCCAGTGACCACCTGGCTCTCCCTGTTGCTATGGCAGGGCTCCTGCCACCTGGTCCCGCGCGCTGGGGCCCGGCGCGGGCTTTCACAGGCTCGCCAGCCGCGCTGTCTGCTGAGCCCTCACGAGGAAAGCGCAGATGGACAGGGCCCGGGACTGGCCCACATCCCAGCAGCTTGCTAGTTTCAGCGCTGATTCCTAATCTGAGCTTCCACGGCTCAGCCCGGGCCCCGTGAGCAGGCACCGCGGCGTCTGCAGGGGACAGCAGGACAGCCCTGCTGCCTGCCACATTGGACAACGGAGGTGGCCAGGGGCATGGGTCGGCCTCCACCCCGGCAGAGCTAGGGAAGCCAGAATCATCCAGGACGCAGGGGCCCAGGCCTTGGCGGCCTGGCCAATGCAGGCTGGACACCAGGGTTTTGCAGAGACTGGCATCTGGTATAAGCCATCGATGGCCAGAGAAAAGAGTGGACAACAGATCCTGGCCACCAGATCGGGCAGCCAGGTGAGAGAATGCCCCCAGGTTAGGGAAGTCACAAGTACAGCACTTGTCAGGCCCAGAATTCCTTGAGTGTGACACCCACAACAAAAAGAGAAGCCAAAAACATAACCAGAGGGCCAGTAGTCCCGCAGTACAGAAGGCAGGGCTCTTGCCTTGCGCGCGGCCAACCCAGGTTCAATCCCCAGCATCCCATATGATCCTCCAAACCCTCCAGGAGTGATTCCTGAGTGCAGAGCCAGGAGTAACCGCTGAGCATCACCCACCGGGTGTGACCCAAAAAGCCAAAAGAAAAAGTCAAAAAATAGGAATCAGGGGCTGGAGCAATAGCACAGCAGGTAGGGCATTTGCCTTGCACGCGGCCGACCCGGGTTCAATTCCCAGCATCCCATATGGTCCCCTGAGCACCGCCAGGGGTAATTCCTGAGCGCAGAGCCAGGAGTAACCCCTGTGCATCACTGGGTGTGACCCAAAAAGAAAAAAAAAATAGGAATCAGAAACAAAGAGAGCCCCCAGGCCACAGTTCCCAGAAGCCCCAGGCGCTGGCGGGTGCTGTGACAAGGGCCCAGGTGCTGGCCTAGAGCGCTGGAACGCTGTGGCTTGCAGATCCAGCAGATCCAGCCGCCCCACCCCTGGCTCTGAGGTCTGGGGTCCCCCCTCCAGGAAAAGAAGGTCCTCGTCCAGCAAAGTTACCACCAAGGCCCCCTTGTATAACTGGGGTCCAGCCACAGAGATGGAAAGGCCTGATGCGGGAGTGGGGCGCCGGGCAGGCCCACTGAGGCTGCACCCGCTCCAGGCTTCTTCCTCTGGATGGAGCGGCACCCCAGGGAGCCACCTGCAGTTCCTCTGTGTCCACCAGAGGGCGCCAGGCCCCTGCAAATCCTCCGGCGGGGGCTCTGCGCCCGGTCCTCGCCCTTGGCGGGTTTGGAGTGGGACCAAGGTGACCGGTTGCTGAGGCCGGGCCGTGCGCGCGCAGCGAGGGCTGTCGAAGCGGGCCAGGGGGTGCGGCCAGGATAGTGGGGGCCGGCCTCCGGCTGGGGCTGTCCTCACGCCGAGGTCATGGGGACCAGGGGTTCCGGCCCCTGCCCCGTACGATGGGGCGTGTCTGGGTGGGACACAGGGGCTCCCTTCTGCGCTCCTTTGGGGACGTGGGGACAGGGCTTCCGAGCGGCTGCCCGGAGACCCCTCACCGTGACCACATGGGCGCTGGCTCGGGCGGGGGGCAGGCCCAGTGAGGCTAGGACTCGGCGGGGTGGGGGACAGCGCACGTGCGGGGGAGAGGGGTCTCGGGGTCCGAGGGGGCCCCCAGGAAAGGGGTGGGAATAGTGGCCGCGTTCTCACCTGGCCGGCGGTGTCGCCCGCCATCCCGCCAGCGGCCACGCGGGGGCGCGCGGGAGCAAAGGCCCTGCTGGGTGCTGCCCGCCCTGGCCCGGCCCTCTGTTCCCCGCCCCCACCCCCTGCTGCGGCTTCGCGGGCCCGAGTCCCTGGACCCCAGACCGAGCCCGGGGGGGTCGGTGGGGGAACCCCACGGGATTTCTCACCCCGGCCCCCACCCACCCACCCTGCCAGCCTTTCCACGGCCCCCCAAGTCCTCTAGGCCTGTGCCCCCACGGCTCTCCCCCGCCCTCCAGCCGTGTCCGTCTCCAGTGGCACCACCCCCCGGGAGCCCTCCCTACGGCCAGGTTCTTTGTTCACGCGCTACAGTAGCCAGAGACCCCACTGGGGTGACGGCGGAGTGACCTCAGCATCTCCAGGGCGAGTTCCAGCAGCAGCGCCTCCCCCCGCCCCGCCCACGTACCCCAATCCACCACGGGGGACCGAGTCCAGGTGGCCCCGCAGGACGGGAGCAGAGCAGGGAGGACATCTCGCCTCGAGGGGCACCCCCACCCTCTAGGGGGATGCCGTAGCCCAAGGTGCCCCAGCCCTCCCCCGCCTCCCCTTAAGCCTGCACACTGTGGAATCGAACTTCCCCTTTCGGGAGCACCCAGGGCTCCGGCCGGGCCGAGGTGCTCGGCTGTGGCCACCAGGGGGCGCCACCAGCGGCTGAGCTAAATAAAGATCGGCCACAGCTGCGCGGGTGGCGGTCCCAGTGGGACGAGGACACGGTCAGGACTAGTCCCAAGGTCACACTCGGCTGTGCCACCCTCCCACCGGGGAGGGGGGGGGCTCCTTCCCGGGGGCGGGGGCGTCGCGGCGCGAGGGGCCCCAACGCTTTTGGAGGTGGTGGTCCCCCGCCCCACTCCCGACTTCCTGCCAGCCCCCCACGCGCCCGACCCAGGCTCCCACTTCCCCCAAAGGGTCAAGAAAACACAGCAAAGAACAGACACCAGTCGGCTTTGTTAGAACAACTCAGCAAAATAAAATTCCTGTTTATTGTTGGACAACATGTTTTTTTCACACATACATCAAACAGGCCAAAAAGAAAAAAAAATAAACAGCAACTTCATAGACAAAAAAAAAAAAGGAAAAAAGAAACCTCTTATCTTTGGCCTTTTTTAACCATCTCATACAAACCAACTACTTATAGTACAGCTAAGTACATACACAAAAAAAGTTACTGGAATGCTCGGAATAAGATTGTTTTTTTTGTTTGTTTTGTTTTTGCTTTTTTTACAAGGTTTTTTTTCTCCTTTGAGATTATAATGAACATGGTCACACCACAAGTAAAGCCGGAGCAGGACGGAGGGCTCCGAAAAAGGCTGGCTTGGTCATCCGTGATCAGTAAAAATGGCTGACCCCTAACAATATGTACAAAAATATAAAATGTAAATAAAAAATACAAACAAATTTTCCTTTTTAAAGTACTTTTAAGAAAAAAAGCAGGGCCTTTGCAAGTTTTGGTTTTTTCCTCCCCGGTGGCGAATTCGCGGTGTGTTTGGGTGGGGTGAGCGGGGGGCTTGGTGGCGCTGCCCGGCGCGGGGGACTCTCTACTCGAAGGTGACCACGTTTAGATTCTGAGACGGGAAGTGGAGGGTGGACAGGTCACGGTGGCCTTGATTTTTTTTTAAGCTGGACTTTTTTCTCCCTTTTTTGCTGTTTAGTCATCCTCGTCGGTCTTCTGCTTCTTGGTGTCCACGTCGTCGTCCTGGGCAGGGGGAGGGGACGGGAGAGCCTAGGGTTAGGGACCCTCCAACCCCCACGAGGCTGGCCCGGGGTCCCCACAAGCACACCCCACGCCCTGCGCCCGCACAGGACCCACCTCGTCGTCCTCAGCTGCCCGCTTCACCGCAGCGGCCTCGGCCTCCTCATCCTCGTCTCCATCCTCTTCCTCACCTGGAGAGCCAAGTCCGGGTTCAGCGCGCGGCCGGCGCCCTGGGTACCAGGTTGGGGGGGGAGGCGGCCCAGCAACCCCAGCGCCCCCTGGTGGCCGCGCAGGTCCTAGCGGGGTCCCGGTCCTACAACTCACCGTCGCCTTCCTCCTCCTCCTCCTCTTCCTCTCCGCCCTCCTCCTCCTCTTCATCTACCTCGTTGTCGGCCTCCTGCTCCCCATTTTCCTCGTTCTGCTGGGCAAGGGGGAAAAATTTAAAAAATTTAAAAAGCGCCGCGTTAACCCGAAGCCGCCACCGGGACCCCGGGGCGCCCCCGCCCCCGCCGGCCGGGAGGGACACTCACAGCGTTGCCGTTCGCGGGGGCGTCTCTCCCGTTCTCCGCCTCCTCCACCACTTCCTTCTTCTCCTTCAGGTCCTTGAGAAGAGAAACGAGGGATGCAGTGAGCCTCGAGCAACGGAAGGGAACGGGGGGCGCCGCGACCACCCCCAGATCCCCCCGCCCGGTACCGCGCAACTTTCCGCGGAGGCGCTGGGGCGGGCGGGCTGCGGGCACCTGTCGGCGCGGCGGGGCGGGGCGGGGCGGGGCGTCGCCGCCCGCTGCCGCCCCCTGGCGGCCGGAGCCCCGGGGAGCGGGGGTGGGGGCGGGGAGCAACGCGCAGGCGCAGCAGCCCCGCCCGGCGGGCTTTGCGCGCGGGCCTCGGCACGCACGGCGCGCGCGGAGCACGTGGCCCGGCCGCCGAGTGCGCCCCTGACCCCGGGGAACCCCGAGCCCGCCGGCCGCGCTGCCCGGCCGAGCGCGCCCCGAGCGCCCGTGCCGATCCGCACCCGAGGCGGCCCGCCGCCGCCCTCCAACGGGCCTCGGCTCGGGGGCGCGCGGACCGGCGCCCGCTTTTGGCGGGTAAAAAGTCCCGCGGGAGGCCGGCCGCGGTCTGCAGGGCTTTCCCGGTCCCCGCAGCCCCGGGCCGTCGGGGCCGTGCACGGGCCCTGGCGGGAAAACACTGGCGAGGAAAAAAATAAAGCATCACGCTGCCCCACGCGGCCGAAGCGCCGACCCCCCCCTCCACACTCGAGTTTCCCAGCTGGGCCCAGAGGGCGCCCATGGGGTCCCCTGCGGAGATCCGGGTCGAGCGCGGCGCCGCGCCGGGGGAGCAGCCCCCGGGAGAGCGCCAGAGGTGACGCCAGGGGCACGAGGATTAACACGCCACCAAGGTGACTCGCCTCCGGCCCCGCGGGGGCACCCCCGAGTGGGGGGCGAGCAGCTGGTGCGCCCGCCCAGCGCCCGCGCTGGCTCCCCACACGGTCCCCGGGTGGCCGGCGACCGCGCCGCGGCGCGCACCGCCAACTGCGCCAAACGCGCCCCACCTCGAAACGCGCGGCGCGGGGACCCGGCGCCACGGGGTCCCCCCGGTCGAGCCGGGGACCCACTCAGTCCTCGCGGCCGCGGCGGGTCCGCCCGGGCCGCCGCTTTTGTTTGCCGCGTCGCCCCCGCGCGCACCGCCACCGGGCTCCCGGGCAGCCGCGGGGGGCGCCCCTCGGTCGCCCCGCGCGCCTGCACTTTCCGTTTCCTCCCCCACGGGCGCGTGGGCTCGCCGCCGCCTTCCCGACCCGGCCGCCCGCGGAATCGCCGAAGCCGGACGGAGGACGGCGGCTCCCGCGCCCCCGGGACGCCTCCCACGCTCCCCGGGAGCGCACGCCGCGCGCAGCCCTTGCACACCTCCGCGCAGCCCCGCGACGCGCTCCGCCTTATCAGCGGCCCGTCCAGATAAACCGCCTCGACCCGCCGCCGCAAGGCGCGAAACGCGGCGGCCGCGGCGCCGAACAAAGACCAGCGCCGGCGGCGGCGTCGGCGGCGATCGCGGCCACTTCCCGCGGCCGGCCCCGCTCCAGCACGCGCGCCCCCCCGGGCACTTCCGACTGCAAAGGCGCTCGAGTTTCAAAGTTCTCTCCTCGCGCCCCCCCGGGGGGGGCCCGACGACCACCGGCTCGGCCCCGCTGACCCCGCCGCCGCGCGGACCCGACACAAACAAGTTTCTGGCGCACAGCGGCCCACCGCCACCCCCACCCCGAGCACCTCGGCCTCCGCCGCCGCCGCCGCCGCCAAACCCCCCCACTTCCCCGAGGGCGCCCGGCCCGCTCCCCGACGGGCATCACACGCCGGCCCGCGGCGCTTCCCGCCGCCCCCTCCCCCCCCGCACACACACAAAGACCGCGCTGCCCCGGGGAGGGGGGGGTCTCGGACTCGGGGCGCGCGGGGGTACCCGCGGGAAGGAGGAGAAGGCACGGCGGGCGCGCGCCGATCGCGCCCACCACCGCGTGCCAAGCACAGCACCGCGCGCTTCGGGGGGCGACCGGCGGCGGCGGCGGGCAGTCCCCGAAGAAGGGGTGGGCGGCGTCCAGCCTCACCTTGGTGGTGATTTCGGAGCTGGTGTCCACGGCTGCGTCTGACATGGTGGGGCACGCCGGTGATCCGATGCAGCGGACGGGGGAAAAGAAAAAGCGAAAGTTGGGGGACTCCGGCGAGAAGGGCCCGAGTCCGCGGCGGCGGCGGCAGCGGCGGCGGCGGCGGCGGAGGCGCGCGGCGGCGGTGGCTGCGGCGACCGAGAGCCGGGCACGGGAACAATGCAAAGATGGCTTTTGCGAGCAGCCAGTGGGGAACTCACGCGGCGCCGGGACCTTTAATATAGATTAGTGGGCGGCGCTCCGCCTCCCTCCGCCGCCCGCTATTGGCTGGGCGCGGGGAGCGGGCGCGCGTTCATTGGCTCGATTCCGAACAATGGGCCAACGTGCTTAAAGCGGCAGTGCCTCGCTGCGTCCCGCGCTGCGCAGTCGTCGGCCGCACTGTCATTCAGGGCCGGGGGTTTTTGGCAGGGTCTGGGGCTGCGCCGGCGCCCTGGGGGAGGGGCGCGCGGGCTCGCTCCGGGCGCGCGCTCCCGCCGCTGTTTTTGCTGGGGCTGCTGACGCAGAAAGGCAAAGCGCGGCAAAGCTGCCCGCCCGCCTTCCCCCCTCCCTGAGGCTGCTCGGAAGGAGGGGGAGGGACGAGGAGGAGGAGGAGGAGGCGGCCGGCGCGCACGACGGCTGCCAGCGAGTGGGGGGGAGGGGAAAGGCCGGGTGCTGGGCTGCGGTCGCCCCGGGCGGTGCCCTGCGCAGTGCCCGCCTAAGATGCCCGGGCTCGGCACCGCGCGCACCTTCCATCAGGGTTTGACCCAGTTCAAACGGGCTGACGCCCCACGACGATCTCAAGTGGCCGAGGACGCGTGGCCCCTTGGGCCACAACGTCTCTACCACGTACGCCCACTTTCTGCCCAGCCTCGTGCGCACCCACTCCTGGGGACGTGATCCCCGTCGCCACCAGCACCCCGGGTGCGCCCGACCCAACACACGAGCGGGCGCCATGTCAGGCACACACTTGGGGGCGGGGGGGGTGTATGCAACGAGGACCACTGCGGACGGCTGCCCTCGAGCAGCACAGCCCTCGAGGGTCGGGTCGCTTAGCGGTCCCTGCAGTCCCAGATGTTCTGGGAGCGCAGCTGTCCCGCGCGATCACTGCCGTCGGGACAATCGGGAACCTTCCAGGATGAGTCATCGAGTCCTACCCCTGTCCCGCTGCACTGGGGGGGGGGCCTGCAAGGGCACAGAAACGTGCATTTTGCAAGACTACTGGGGGAAATAATGGCCCCTCAGCAGCTGGCCTAGTCCTTGGGGGCTCCTTGAAGATCGAGGCGCCATTGAGCGAACCACGCGGAGCCCCGAAAAGAGAACCAACGACGTGCCACACTCAACATGGCGTTGGTCTCGACAAGCGTGGCGCGGTGTGGCGATGCAGCCCACGCGGGCGCTCCGAAGACCGTAAGCTACACCCTTCTCATCGCCACCGCCCTTGGCTGTCGAACTAAGAAACCATCTGTGTGGGAGGAAAGATCAGAAGAGGCGGGGAGATGTTCCAGGGAGGGAAATTAAAAAAAAAAAAAAAAACACGATGCCACACACAAGATGGCGAGAGATCGCGTTCAGAGCCGTCTTACCAGCAGGGGGCGCCCGACACGGAAGGCGGGACAACGGCTCTACGAGCGCGCATTGGCCCAGAGTGGCGGGCGAACACAAAGTTGACGCTTTGCGTCTCCCCATTGGTCGGTTCGGCTGTCTGTAACTTGGGGCGGCCGACCCGGGAAGGGCGAAAACCCGGAGTGGGGGTTATTGTGTGGCGCGGACCGATGCCAAGTGCGGGCGAGCTTGAAGTCCGGGGCCAGGACTCGAGAGCCCTGGTGGCGCTTCTGGCTTTTCCTTGCCCAGTGGCCCCTCTGTCCCCTTGCCCACGGGGACACCTGCGCCCACTGCCGAGTTTTCCCCGCGCTCATCTGTAGCAGGCGTTTCGCCTCTGCCCGGGCTGTCGGGCGGGCGCGGCGCGCCAGGGCGCCCCCCGGGTCTGCGCCCCCGCGCGCTCCCCGCACCCCGCCCGCGGGGACCCCCACAGCACATCTGCCAGCCCCACCGCTGGCCGTGAGAAGTGCGGGCTGGTGCTCGGTGGGCACGGTGCGGGCACCGCGCCAGCGCCCCGTGGGACCGGAGCGCCCACCCCCCACTCCCTCGTGCTCCCCACCGGCCGGAAATGGGCCCGCTCGTCCCCTGGGTGGGCCCGCGACAGCCCGACAGCCCCTGGCGCTCCCCCAGGACCGCGCTCCGAGCCCTTTGTTCGGGCCCTGCCTCCTCCCGCCGCCGGCTGCCGCCTTCACTGCGGCGCCGACCTGGGGCGCCTCCTGGGCCCAAGACGGGCAACAACGCGCGCGCCCTGGCCCCGGCGGCCGCCCCGCCGCCACCGCTCCTGGGGGGCCACAGGGCTTCGGGCAGGGGCTTGGCGGGAGAGAGCGTTGGGCGCCTTCACCTGCCGCGCACCCCTCTCGGGGTGGGAGGGGGAGTTGTGGCGGCCACAAAGCCGAGTCACGTGTCGCGGCCCCGTCCGAACCTCCCGGCCTTGGGCCTCCGTCTGCGCCCAGGCTGGAGCCGACGACGCGTCGTGCGTCCCCGTGGAGGGGGGTGGGGGGAGCGCGCAGACGTCTCCGAGGAGCTGGTGAGGGGGGATTTCCCCGCCAGAACCCTGGGCCCAGCCTGCTGGCTTTGCTGGAGAGAGTCAGAGCAAGCCCCCCAATTCTGGAGCTGCACCCCCTGGTCGTTGGCCGGCCTGTGCGCACCCGGCAGGGAGTCTCGGGACCCTGCTCCAGGCATTTCCATTTATTCCCTGCAGTTTACCGGCTAGGTGGGATCTGGGGGAAATGCATGTGCAACTGATGTTCCTGCGAGTCCAGACAACTGAAAATACGCCAATGCCGCGGCTCGAGTTTGTATATACCACTCTGCTTCTGTGTCAAAAAATAAATGAATAAAAAAAGGTGGGGGGCCAGAGAGATGGCCCAAAGGGCTGAAGCTGGGGCTTTGCCTGCAGGAGCCCCACGTTGGATTCCTGGCATCCCGTGGGCCCTGGCACCAGCACTGTCCCAGGAATTACTCCAAGGAATTAGGGGACTTAGAATAACCCAAGTGAATCTGGGGCCGTCTGGGGTAAACTCCTGGGATAGGAAAGGGCCTGGACTGGAAGTGGCTCCGCTGCCCTCCCCTCCCCTCCCCTCCCCTCCCCTCTTGCCTCCATCCATACACCGAGCCCTCTCTGCCCACTGCTGCCACCCAGGAGACCCGTCCACTTCTTCGGCCTCTCACCCTTCAAGAGCCAACTGGCAGGCCACATTTCAGGTCCTAGATCTTTGCAGCCGCAGGTCTCCCCCAGGCTGGAGCTACTGAAAATGAGACCACTGGAGCCCAGTGGTCTCCAGGCCAGTTTGAACTTAGGGAATTTGTGAGTCCTGCTCACTCCCTGGCTCTCCCTGTGGTCACTTGAATGTACAACCTTCACCTGGAGCAGTGGCCGGTCTGCCCCTGATAGGTCTGTCCCACTTCAACTTCACGCCCCCCCAAAACTGTAGCACTGTAGCGCTGTCCTGTTGTTCATCGATTTGCTCACGTGAGCACCAGTAATGTCTCCATTGTGAGATTTGTCGTTACTGTTTTTGGCATAGCGAATATGCCACAGGGAGCTTGCCAGACTCTGCCGTGCGGGTGGGATACCCTCGGTAGCTTGCCGGGCTCTCCAAGAGGGGCGGAGGAATTGAACCCGGATCAGCCGTGTGCAAGACAAACGCCCTACCCGCTGTGCTATCGCTCCAGCCCCCAAACTAGAAAGACTATATATACCGATGGACACACCCGGGCCCAATCCCTGGCCCTGGGCTCACTGTGTGGACGTGGTGAGAGCCGTCCACAACTCGGCAAGATGGAGGTTGTCCTGGCATGGACCAGCCGGTGGCAGCACTGGGACCCGACCTGGGTTTCTACTGAGAAAGCACTTCAGGGGGAGCCCAGAAAGGGCTCCAGGGACCCCACTGCCCAACTGCCTTCCCAGCAGGCTGGACTCTGCGTTCTTTGGACTCTGGACAAAGGAAGGATGGACTGTCTTCAGGAAGTGTTCACTGTGTTCACTGGGCACGAGGGCCCCCACCTCCCCGAGTTTCTGGGAGCCGAGGATGGGGTGCTGCCTGAGGGCTGGGCCCCGGAACCTCGCTTCCCGCCCCGCAGAAGGCCGGAATTTCAGCCTGTGCCTTCCACGCTCAGGCTGTGGCGGGGCCTTTCAACTCCCGCCTGCCGGGCCCCCCGGGATTGTGTAAGAGCCCCCCTCCCACCCCCCAACGCCTGCTCCCTGGCGCCACACGCCCAGGCCTGCTCAGAGTCCCGGGAGCTGTGCCAAGGCCAGCTCTGGTACCCACACAGGTCTGGCCGCCCCAGAGGCTCGCGCCTGGCAGGGAGAGGCCGGGGAAACGGCTCTCATGATGTTGGGGGCCGACCCCCAAGTGGAGGCCAGACCACAGCCCCCATGGAGAGGGAAGGAGAGGAAAAGGCGGGCAGAGGCCTGGCTGGGTGGGGCGGCACCCCCGAGCGTGGCCCCGGTGTGGGCACTGGATACTGGCTCCTAGCCAGCCTGCCAGGCCTACCCAGTGCCCCACGCGCAAGCATGTGTGTGTAGGGGTGTGTGGGCGTCTGCAGGTTTGAGTGAGGGAGTGTGTGTGTGGGGGAGATGGGTGTGAGTGGGTGTGGGTATAAGTGTGTGTGTAGGTGTGTTGATGACTGTAGGTTTGTATGAGGGTTGGGGATGGGTGAGTAGGTGGGGGTGGGTGTTTGTAGGTATTGGGGTGTGTGCAGAAAATATGTGTGTAGGGGTGTATAGATGTAGGGGAAGGCGTAGAGGTGTGTGTGGCTGTGGGTGGGTAAATGTGAAGGTATTTGGGGGGGTGTCGGTGTTTGTGGGTGGGTGTTTGTGGATGCGGGGGGTGTTTATGAGTGTGTGTAGGTGTTTGTGGGGGTGTATGGCTGTGTGTGCAGGGGTGTAGATGGATGGGATGTGCATAGTATGTGTGTGTAGGAGTGTGTGTTTGGAGTACAGGCATAGGAGTACTTGTAGAAGTGTGTGTAGGGGTAGGTGTGTAGGAGGCGGGGTACATGGGTGTG